GATGGGGATGGGAACAAATATGTAGCAGTCTAGTCAGTTGTACTGCAGTTATTCTCCACCTTACGTTAGCCACTTTTATCAGAAGGATGAAATCAAAAGGGGGGTTCAGTAATCTGATCTTCTTGAAATTGAATCAAAAAATCAAAATAAATAGAGTATCCAGGTGTTTATGTTTGTTTGTTTGTTTATGTGGTTAATTTAGCCTTTAATATACAACAGATAGAAATAACCTCTTCCAGTTGACTGTGCTGAGCGATTGTTCGACGACGTTCCACCCGGCAATGAACCACCCGAAGCCCATGATCTTCGGGTAGAAGCGTTTGCAAAAGCGATGGCTCGACAAGATCGTCATCAATTGCATGTTGACATTTCTTGGCAAATGCCACCAAAAAGTTGGTTTTTTATTTGTTGATATTGATTCTTTGTTTACCAGTTGATTCCTAGTATTTCGGTATTTTTTAAGTTTTTTTAGTAAAGATTCCTTACGTGGGAGTTGCATGTAATCAGAAGTTACTCGTAAACGAATCTCCGACCACTTCGGACGTGGTTCTGCCCTTGTAAGGGTAGCCACAGCATCCATGGTTAACATTTTTTATACGACTTTAAGTAGGGGCTCGGCCTTCGTGGTAACCCAGCCGCTTTTAATGGTCCAATGTCGTCATGAAAATCATCATGCCTGTCAATCTGTTTCTTGTCGGACCATGAAGACGTCCTCTTGCAAAGTATAACTTTTTTGCTTCTTACGAAGTCGCTCATTCGATTGAACGCCTCTATTTAAAAGCGGACATCAAACTATGGGCATACCGAAACCCTGAGTTATCCTCTACTTTTCTATGCAAGCAAGAGCCATTCCGGTGGTTGACCGGCTCATAAAGTCATCTTTTGGGCCGACCGGGCCAAGGGCTTTGTGTGCCAATCTGTGGCCACTTTGCTAAAACTGACTTGCATCGTGATGTTAGGTTCAAGGTTTAAGAAAGGAAGGCTCTTAGAAGATGAAAAAAAGGAAAAACTGTCATTG